AGTGAGTGGTCACCCTATAGTCTGTGTGGGTCCTACAGCACAGTGATTGGGACATCAAACTGTAAAAAAAAGGCACTGTCCTTTTTTGGTACGAGACGTAGAACTGAGAGTCTGACTCTCTGTGGTGATTAAAAATCCCAGGGAGTTTCTTGAAAAGAGTAGGGGTGTTACCCTGGTGTCCAGGCCAAATTCCCCCCTGGCCTTTACCAATCATTACCTCCTAATAATTCCCATTTATTAACTGGCTTCATAACTTTGTTCTTCCCACTAAGAGCTTACGTTGGTGAACTGTCGTCACATCAGCTAGGTGGGGGCTGCACACTGGCGGTGGTGGAGGGGAGTCCCCATTACCGTAAAGCACTCTGAGTGGAGTGTCTAGAAAAGAGCTATATAAGTGTAACTGACCAAATCACATCCATATATGATTAGTAAAATATTATTGCACAAATTTACAAACTGATTATTTGAGGGTCAGGAATCAGACATACAGGATGTTAATTCTGCTGGAACAGAGCTGACAGGCCAATTTTGTACTGATCTCATCTTTTTCATCCAATCTATCACAAACAAATAGTAACAGCCGAGACAGGTTTCTCATGTCTGTAGATCAAGTGAAAAGGCAGACACTCAATTTTCCAAGAAAGTGTGCCTCCGTATCTTCCACTATCTCACAAACTTTTTTTAGAAACAGTGCCGTCCGATCCAGGATCTGACCTTTTTCCACGTGCCCACTGCCAGAAAGTCTCGAAAAAATCCCCCGAATAATAATCAAAAACTCTCCAAGTGTGTTTCCCTACCATTTGCAATCCAGAATATCTGATATAAGGCTTATAAACATTTTCACTTACTTAAATGCTACAAGTGAACTCGCCATCGAAAAGTTGAGTCACTGTTGAAAATATCAAATTAGTATTACAACCAACCTTTGTTTCCAAGGGTCTGCTTTTAAAACAAAATACAGCTTTAAACACTCCTTATACATTTCATCTGAACAATAAACTTATTTCTGAGTTTATAATACATCGTGAGTTTACAATATATAAGTTGTGGAAATCGAAATACGAATCACTATGCTCACAGACCTTCTGAGGTTTTGATCATAATGTGTTACTGCTGTTCTAGGCTGTAAAAGGGAGCAAAGCTGTACTTGTAGCTACAAAATAAGAGTGCAATGGATTGCTCTGAGCCAACTGGGCCTGGCTTTTGTGCAAGGCTTTCAGATCATACAAACTGGCCAGCAAATTCCAGGAACTTGTGCAGATACTTGACTAAGATACTCTTCTGTCAGTCAGGAACTGAGTGAACCTGAGGATAGCACATAACTTGCTCAGGTCTGAATCTAGAAATCAGAGGAAACCAAGCAGCAGTTTTAAGAACGCTTAACTGAAGCATACTGAAATCCCGCCATCAGTTTAGGGTTTTTTTATCTACCCTAGAAAGTTTTTTTAACATCATTCTGTACCAGGGGCGAGGCACAATCACCTTCTCATTTTGACACTCAAAATCACTCATAGCACTTACTACATATGAGCCATACCTAGTTTTCAAGAATATCAAAGCCAAATGGGAGATGTGATATCCACACCAAAATGCCATTAGAGCAGTCATCTTCTAATGAAATTTAGCCCATACTACTTTGTCATTCATATGTCTTAAAACAGAACAATTTCAATTACCACATGGATATTTGTGGTCATCACACTGAAAGACGTATGGCCTACTTCAAAAATAGCTTCATCTTTCTGCACCTACACTAGCCAAGTTATCCCTCCCTACCGTTGAGATGACAGGGACATCCCCTTTCTCCCAGATAAAGCCCCCTTCAGTCAAAGGGAAAGGGAAAATGAGGATGATTAAGGTAAACTGAAGATGCATTACTGGAATCTGCGTTCTTGATCACATATAAAGTCCCTTTGTAATACAGTACACAACGTAAAATGTCTTGTGTTGCAGTGTGTAATTACTTAAAAGGGCAAGGAGAGCCAGCGGGAAAAAAACCGATGCATTTCGGATACAAAAAAAGGAGTTTAGATTGTAGTTCTGGTCTAGTTCCAGTTTCAAAAACAGGTATGCTCTGATGCCAGGCAAACCGCAACCTGAACCGCTGTGGTTCACAGTGGAAATTAGACAGATAAACTACCATTAGCTGCGCACTTTTCACTTTAAAACCCTCAATAACAACATCACCGTAATGAACGACCCAGCTGTGTGGGAATGAAGTTAAACTCTTGCTGCCGTTAACAACACATAACACTCCACCACTGATATAAGATCTCAAGATCCACCCTACATATTCAAAAGCCACAATTGTGTCGTACAAATTCTGCATTTAATACGCGCTAGCTGACGAAAACATTGGTCTCAGAGCAGAAAAAGTCCACGATGCTGAAAGTACAGTATCGCAACCATTGTGCTGTCCAGTGTACAGAGACGTGCCTAGCAGCCTTATAGACCATATTTAGTCATTATTTTCACGTTGATGAACTCGTGAGCTTGTTCAGCGTGCGTTTCCGCAGGAGGAAGCGGGGTGCACCGGTTCCATGACTCCGAGCCGCCAGCGCCGGATGCCCCCGGGAGTTCAGCCCCGGTCCCCCCGCCTGCGCGCTCACGCCAGCTCGGGGCTTGGCGCTCAGGCCTACCGCCAACCCCGCCAGCGCGACCAGAAACCGCCGTGAGGCGCAGCTGGTGCGCCAACTCGCACGACCGCGGCGCCACTCCGGCTCACCTCGCAAGGGGCTCGTCCGAAATCGTACCACGATAACCCCCCCCTCCCCGACCTACTCTCCTCACGTTATCGGTGTCTTGGGCCTCTATCCCTCCCTTCTGCTCCCAACTCTTTCCTCCAGACTCGCTCTCCGCGTCAAGACTCGTTATCTCATTCCCCCCACGCCTGGCGATTTGCAAACACGAAGCGATTTTCAACTGGAAGCCCAACTTTCCTTACGGAACCACTAAAAGGCAAACTTAAACAAATAAACGCCCCCCCACCACCACCACCACCTCCTCCGCTTTTTAAATTCCCCCATCAACACACATTCTGTAGTATTTTTTTTTTTAAAAGAAACTAGATGAAGTTACCGCCAGCTGCTCCTCCCGTGTACATCTTTCCGTCTCGTCCGGCTGCCGTTCACTTTCCACGTTTCAGATTTCCACCCCCCCCCAAAGAAAAAAATATTCGCCGTGATTACGTTGAACAAGAGGGGCAGCCTCACTCGAGAGGATTAAAGTTGGGGGGTGAAGGGAATGAAACACAAACACGGATCCTCGCTAGTTGGGCTCCTCCGCTCCTCCCCCAGCAGCTCACCGCAGGAGAGGAGAAGGGGCCGTGACGTCACCCAGGGGGGCCGGCGCGGTGAAAGCCATGTGCTCGCCCGGGGCCCTCTGGGCGGACGCCGCCGCTGCGCGGTGTTCATAGGCTTGAAGCGATGAGCTTTTTCAGTTACCGCACCGGGAAACAACAACAACAACAACAACAACAACAACAAAAAACTGGCAAAACGTACCTGCCTGTACAGTTTGTTTGTTTTTTAATGTGGTTCATTTACAGGCTTCGAAGGAACAAAAACTTGGCTCAGTCACAAAATACAGCCCGCTTTGACGATGATTTGTAAACCGGATACCAACCAGTTTTTTTTTTATTATTTTACTATATTTACTTTGCAGGCGCCCTAATCTAGTATGGGACAATATAAAAAATATTTCCATTTAAGTGTCGGTACCAGGAACAGTCGCGTGTAACATAAAGTAAATAAGGGCTTGAGTGTCTTTGATCTGTGATGACTTCTTTTAAAATGTTACTTTTTTTTTTCCTCGTAAAGTATAAACAGGGGATGGGGCTACTCTAAAATCTGAAACATAATTGCGGCGTGGTTAGCCGTTATAAAAACGGCCATTCAGAAAACACGCATCAAGACTGTCCTGTTTGCATACCAGACGCGATGTCCCGCCTCGCTCCCCTCCCTGTGTTAACTGCAAGCGGGAGTCCTCTGTACTTGGAGAGGGAACTTTTTCAAGCGACGCTCACGTCCTCTGCCAACCTCTGCAAGCGTGTCTTTCTGCCTGTGTTATCCTGTTCATCTCCCCCAGAGCCCAAGTTTAGGAAGAAAAGAACGCGTTGTTTCGACTTTAAACAGCGTTGATCATTTCCCACGTGTAATTATGAATCTGTAACTAGAACTCAAAATGCAACCGCCAAATATTATTTTATGGATTCTAGACGGTGCAGTAGGGTTGTCTGGAAAAGCAGCGTGAATTCAACTGACATGATAATTGTACTTTTTTCGGGCTCTATGCTTCCGATTAGACCCATAAAACCCGTCTGTGGCTGTAATTGACCACATGATGACGCCCATTTATTTCTGTGAAAGAAGCCAGAGTTTCAGCAGCATGGACGGGTAGTTTGCTCTACACTCTCACAATGTAGATTGTTTGAATACATGTTGTTTAAATAAATGCCTCCTGTTTTCAGATTCAAATGAACTACCACATAGTATCCACTTGTGAAGTTGGCTTGACTTTGAGGTTTTGAATACTTGGATCGCTCCCTCCTGTCTTTAGTGCTCTTTGCTCAGACCTAAAAAGGTTCATGTCCTAAAACCTGTTGGTGCCAAACATTCCTTTAAGGCCCAGAATGTATCTAGTTGCTCCTCTGCAGACTGACTGGAGAGAGGTAATATTTTTCAATAGCATGCCAAACCCTATATTGGTTTTTGATTATGTTTTTTCTTTCCGAAAGTAAGATATTTGAATGGAAATTACAATTACTTAATTTCTAAAAAAAATTAGGAAATTCCCCAATTTCCCTTTGGGATAGTGTTATCTTATCTTATCTTCCTGACCAGCCCAATGATTACAAATGCAGTG